ACAAAAATTAAAAGGTTAAAAGTTGAGGAGTCCACTATGGCCGCATAGTTCATATCCAAACGTACAGAAAGGTCTTGGCAGTCTTCTGATGGATCCAACATGGAAGGCAATCTCCTAATTGCTCTTATATATAGATATTCTTAACATCCTCAAATTAAATTAGACAGGGGAATTTCTTAACATCCTCAAATTAAATTAAAGAGGGGAATGTTCGTCTCTGCTGTGGAGGTTAGTTATGGCCTCCAGGGCCCCAAAAGAAGAATCTAGGTACAACTTTAAGAGCTTTAACCCCTCTTTGAATACCCACAAGTTCTGAAACTGTGTTTGGAAGGCACCCTAGCTAGCTAATTTCCTCATAAAACCCACATTTCCAGTTATTGCCATTAATATCTCTAATCGAGGGCATTTTTTGAAAGATTTATCTGAATATTCATCGAACTTTGCATGATACCATATATTTGATAACTAAAAAATCTTCCCAAATTGTGCCTTACAGCAGAGGGAACACTTACTATTATTGTTGTTGTTATTTTGCGTTAGCCATCATCGCAAAGCAAAGCTACGGCGAGGCTACAAAAATTAACATGGCCTGACTTGACCCCAGCACAATACTTTTTTCGGTTAAAAAGAAAAAAAGAAAAAAAAAATAGGACCCGGTCATCGTAGATTATGAACTCCCTATATCTTAGGGCAATTTTTCACTTGTGAAAGAACTTTCATGAAGCAAAAAAAGTTAGTCCAATTAGTAAGAAATCGGCTCATCATGAGTTTGAATCCCACCACTGATGTGAGGACCTTGTTGGTGGGTAATCTATCAATAACTCTATAAGTGTTATGATATTAGGGGTATGTCCTGACCCTACGAGCTCGCAGCACCTACCTCATCTAAGTTTTTTTTGGTACCCAAAACAAAAAGAAATTTTCATGCCACTAGAATATAAAGCCATTGACTTTAGCACAATATTTTGGGCTTGTTTGGAATTGCAATATAGAATCATTCAAAAACTGATTTTCAATTATAATTTATGAAATATGAGTTTTTTCTCAAATTGTATAAAATAAGTGTTTTTGGTATCGCAATTGTGGTTCCAGACAAGCATTTTGACAATGCATTACAAGTTTTATATATGGTCCTTCTTTTTTTTTTCCTAACCATTAGATTAACACATTTCAACGGTTTGAATTTTAATTTTTTATAAACTATTTATAAATTTTTTTTAAAAAACACTTAGTGTATTTGGAAAACATTAGAACTAAATTTTAATATAGTTTGTAATTCATTATTTATTTATTTTTATTATTTAATATTTAATAATATTTTTAAAAAGATTTAAATCTGAACCATTAAAATATTAATCTAATAGTTAAAGAGAGCCAGCCAAGATTAAAACTTAATTGAAAGAGATTCATATAAATCCTAGCAAAAGGGTGGAATATGCATAACAACTACATAAATCCCGGGGGGGAAAAAAATTCTTTAGTGTCATGGCCTAAACAAAGTGTTTGTTATTAAGTTCACATATTCGTGCATGAAGAGGCGTGGACATTATCATGAGAAGAAAATATTGGGGTCGTTGGAAGGACGAAAATAATAAAATATGTTAAAGTAATATCATAAAATCTATATAATGATTCGTTATATTTTATAATTTATTGGCCGTGCACATTAAAAACTTATACAGTATGTATTCTATTCTAAAATTTATCAACCCATGCATATTAAATAATATAAAAACAACGTGCTCTATTTTAGAACTTTTTCAGACCTCCCATATTAGAATATGAAAAATAGCTTATTTTATTTTAATTTTTTTATATATACATGTTAAAAATATAAATGACGTTTATCAACTTAAAAACACTTGAGAGCTAGGGAAAGAAAGGGTAGATATGCAAAGACACTTTTTGGTAAGTTCCTTTCTTTTTAAAAAAATTATCATACATTTTAAGATGACCATCTATATTTTTTTATTAGAGGTAATTCTGTTTATCGATTGTTACAACTTAAATTTTAACACTAAATTAAAGTGTGTGTGTGTTTTTTTTTAAAGGGCTAACAAAGAAAAATGCAAATCCAACATACTGAATAAATTGTCATAAAATACTAACACAGTTAAGTTTAGCGAAATGAACTAATCCCCATAATGTGGTGAAGTAAGATTTAAATTCCTGTTGAAAGATGTACTTAAATTTAGTGTCCAATAATATTTTGGATAAGATTACCTCTAATAAAAAGATACTTATGTCTACCAAAAATATGGACATAAAATAAAAAGAGATCATTAAAAAAACCACTGCGCAGCCCTAAAAGGGGGGAAAAGAAACAAATACTACCTCCGGTCCTTAATATAAGACCCCGTTTGACTTTTTGTTTGATCCTAATTATAAGACCCCAATCCATTTTGTCTCTCATATTTATGCATTTTTTTCCAAGATAATCCTTCTAATAATGATAGTTCTAGCCAATACACTTAATTAGCAAGGATATTTTAGGAATGACAACACTTATTTATTACAAATAACAAACTTAACTTACTTCCTTAATCTCCTCAAATAAGTCAACTGGGTCTTATAATTATGACCGGAGGTAATAAGGCGGCCCACATCAATATAAGCACCTATAAAACCCATTCCAGATTTTTTTAAAATAACTCATTCCATTGTTTATTATAATTTTTTTGGTTACATTTTTTTGTTACAATTCTAATATCATAAAAAACACCCTCCCTTGTTAGAGACAAACCGTCATACACTCGAAAAGTTTGAACGTCTCTCAGAAGTCAGAAGGCCCACAACTTGCTCAGCCAACAATGGCGTCAACTGCGATTTTAAATGTTATTAAGAAGGAAAAAAAAAACTTAGATAGGCCTCTTTCATTTCTTATTTTTAGAATATTATTTTATTTTTAACAAACAGAATAGGTTGTTTAAAAATTTTGGTTATGCGCTCTGAAATATAAAAAAAATGAAATGGTTTTTTTTTGGACTCTTTCCAGTAGGTTTTGCTAAAAGTAACGAGGGCGCATGATATGATTAAGGAAAGGAAGGAAAAGAACTGAAGATTAGTGAGGGAGGATCATAATGAGATACTTCTCCAATCTTTACCTATTTAACTAATTTGATTATATTAAAAAAGTTAGGTAAGTTGGTTAATTATAAGAAATATGACATGTTTTTCCTAAAATATCATAATTATCTTTTTTAATATCCTCCCTCCTTCACTTACTTGATTATGATTAATGGAGTATTCATAAGAGTAATTTAGAAAAAATTGATAAATATGAGAAATAGTTCTTATATTTAAAATTAAAATTAACTTAGTAATTACATCCTATATTTAAGGACAAAAGGGGTCCAATAATATGCAAGGCATCGCCACGACTCAAACATAACAAAGGCTTTATTTGTTTTTTTTAAATTAAAAATATAACAATATTACATATAAATTGGACAATAAAGAGGCCAGACATAATTGCGATAGACACACTCAGAGTATTAACAGTTTTGGGCATTTGGGACTTTTTCATAATATTTTTATAGCAGTTGAAGCCAACGGTGAAACATACCCTTCGGCATGTGATTGATGAGAGAACACGATGGCGGATGGGCTTAGTAACAATTTGAATTGAGACTACGTGGAGTCATTGACTGCCAGGCCCGAATACGTAATTATTGGGCTGGACAGGTGGGCTCATATTTAGATGGTCAAACAAAATTGTGTGCCATGGCGTAGGCAACCAAAAGAGTTAGACCAGGGGTGTTTGGCTAATCCCAGAAATGTTTCTTAGAAACATTTTTTCGTAAATCGAGACAAACTCCTTCACATATTTACTTCGTATACTGTAAAAAAACTTCTGAAACTATGATTTTATTCTTACCCAAATACCTCCTTAGTAGAAAAAGTTAGTCTCTCATAACATAATAAGTTAATATTTAAATTTTTGCCGAAAGAGATGTCAACTTTTAGTGTCTTCTAATGACTCGAACATAATTGTTTCTAATAAAAAAATATTTATACCTACTAAAGAAACAATGTTGTGCGGTGGCTATGAAGGAACTATGTGAAATTATCTGCCCACTAGCTTTTCTCTCTAGATCTTTCCCTTCGGCCTCTGTCTTCTTTTCCCCTCTTTCCCTGGCACTCCTTTAATTCTCTTCTCTCTTGAGTTGATCTTCATCCTTTTATGCATTTTCTTCTTCTTCCATATTTAGAGTGATCTATTTTATAGCCAAATGGTTGTGACTTTTTTTTTTGTTGGTATTTTTGGCCTGAAGTTGTGACTTTTTATTGAATCTTATGACTAAGATTCTATAAGCTTAGCGTGACCACAACAAAGACATAGCTGGAATTATTTTCTCTGTTTTGCCACTCCCTTTTTTTTTTCTGCTCTTTTTTTTTCCCCTCTCAAGTTTGTCTACGAACAACTTGAGTCCAAGGAATGGAAGCTCGTTTGTAACTAAATAAATTTCTTATTATTTTTTAATTTGATCAAGGTTTTATTTTTTTGTTTGACCAGCAAGATCAAGGTTTTATTTTGAAGTTTAGAGTTTAAAGAATTTTTATTTTTTCCAACAAATACCTTTCTTGAAATTTGAATTTGTGTTTTACTTTTCAGATCACTTTCCATCCCAACGAACAATCTGCACTTTAAGTCATTTTCCATCTCAATCAATAGTTTGTTGATACTAATTAAATTTATTTACAAAACTAATGAATTTAATCATGAAGTTAATTTTATATATGTGTGTGGATATATATATATAAACCATCACTGATCACTCCCGCCTCGCTCTGTTTACTTTTCATCTTTTTTTTAAAAAATAATTATTTATTATTAACTTAAACATACACCTGAAAAATCAAAAGTACCCATAAAACTCTCTGCCAAAAAGAAAAAGTACCCATAAAACTATCAAAGTGATCATATCTGAATCTTATGGCGCCATATTATCCTTATAATGAGATGTTAATTTCTTCTTTCTCGTCTGCTTTTAATCTCTCATCCCAAGGCCCTTCTTCTCCGTCACGTTTCTCAAATTTGAAACTCCGGTAAGTCTCTTCTCCTCTCTGTTTTCTTTTTCTTCTTTGCTATTCTTATGATTCGCATTCGTAACTGAAATGGGTGGGTGTTATATCGCAATCCGGAGTCCTAATCTGCGTAAAGTTTCGAACTTTCTTTTCTTTTCCTCTGTTTTCTAGTTTGCCAAACAGGGCAATTGTCCCAGTCGCCCAACGTCTCTGCTATTCCTACTTCACATGGTTCACTCCCATACAGAGCTCACACAGCCTGAAAACCAAACCCCTTTTACTCAAACAAACTTTCTTTGCTCAATCAGTTGCATCATAGAGATCTGCGCTGTAATGTTGTTTTGTTTCCTCCTATTTTCCTCAAGCTTCAGAAATACAGTTTCTGCCCTGCTTTCTTTCTTTCTTTTTTTCCCTTTGTTGTGTACAAGCATGGCCTTCTTTAAATGCATAGGATTTTTTTTTTTCCTTGCCTGCACAAATAGCACATCAGTATGGGTCATTAGGTCTTGCTATTTATTATATTATCAATTATCAATTATCAAATTTTACATAGACTCATCATCATCATCATTATTATTTTTGTTTTTTTTGCAAAACCAAATTCAGGGTCATCTGGAAACAAGGACATTAATGGAGGGGACCTCAAACCAGGCTGATATGAGAAAGGAAGAAGACAAAATGATTTCAAATTCTCAAATCATCTCATCATCTCCTAAAGGGTTCAAAGACTGTTCCATCAACATGCCCTCTTGGCTCCGAACACACATTACTGGTATTAGATGCGTTTTTTTCCTTTCATTCATTTTCTCTCAAATTTGGTTTATGTTTTTATGTTTTGTTCCCTTTGTGTATGTTTGGATTTCAGTACGATTTTAAGGTATTTTAAACGGTTCGTTTTTACTTCTCACTTTCACATGACTCCGTATCAACTCATGCGACCCTATATCGAACCAAGACATAAAATGGACTCCATTATTGTGTTTGTTTGTTATATTTTTTCAATGAAAGGTACAAGTAAATGCCCAGAAATTTGGAGACACAAGTGTCATAAATGTAGGGTCATTATTTTATAGGCCCATAGGCCGCAGTTGCGCATGGTGAAATAGTTGTTTTATTTCTTGTGTTTGGACTTTGAAGTTCCCCTATTGAAACTAATTTGAATCATATTTAATTATATTGCAAGAGACTCACTCCTTCATTAGTCCCTACTTCATAATTATCTTTATTTTCAGGAGGAAAAAAAGGATAACTTGAAATTTTCAATTAGATTGAAAATTGAAATCAAAACTAAAATTGGAAACTTTGTATCATTACATTCATATTTAAAAAGTTTTAAAATTTTTATATGACCTTTGCACTCCTTAATCAAATAAAAAAAATTGATTTGACTTTTCTAATAATTAAATACTAAAAACCAATAATAAAAATGAGAAAGTGAGAAAAAAGGGGGTTGAAATCTGATTAATTGAGATCACGTGTAGCTCGCGGGTGAGAAGGGGTTTGAGTGACCTTTTATGAGCAATGAATCCATCAATTATCGTATCAACAACAGAAGGCCAAGAATCCTCCATTCTCATCTGTCCCTCTCTTAATGTTTTCTCTTGGAAATACCATCTTCCGTACGCCCATTTCTCTCTCTTCTCTCTCCTCACGCGCACTACTTCACGCGCTTTCCCACTTCCGTTTTTGAAAATATATTTAATTTAAATCCCACAACGGCACAGGAATCACATTACTGCTGGATTATTATTATATTGATATTATATTAAGCTAAGTTCCATTCTTCTTCGTCTGCCAATGCGTTACTTTGAACCTTGTGAGGAATTAAGAATAAGCGTTGAAGAAAGTACCCGTTATGTGATAGCGAGCTTCATTGACAAGTACTAATAATCTGAAGAAAAACTCTCTTGGTGCCTTTGTGTTTTTCAAATTCCCACTTTGTCTTCTGATCTTTTTCCAACTAACCTTTTCCCCTTTTGTTCTTTTTCGTGCATCTTTCAAACCCTATCGTCAAGTTTAAATTTTGAACCTGGGGGTTAGAGTGTGAGGCTAGAAAATATACACTGCACATAATGTAATGGTCCCAATCTAGTTTTCTTGCTGCAGTACACAATAGATACTGTTGGCATCTGTTACGGCGACCTTTCTACTTTATCCTCGCTTCCTGTGCTTGTTCTTCAGAACCCCTTTTTGTTTTTGTTCGAAAGAAAGTAGGGGAAAACCGGAAGATAAGAACTTTTCTCCACACTCAGTAAATGCACCGCTCTGGTACAGGACGGGGACTTGTGCTGTAATTTGCTGCATCACAGTCCTAGGTGCCTTACCCTATTAGCCTAGCCTATATCTGCAAGCAAACTCCGCATTGTGGAATTCAAATTCCTACTGTTTTTGAAATAGGTCCTTGCAAAGTTTTAACTTTTTCCTCTAACGTTCCTAAGTTAATTTAATTGGGGTTGTGTCAGTGTTCCCCTTCTCTCAAGTCATTGTTGGTTGGCCTGTCTTTTTCTTCTACCCCCAAATTGTACATTGTCCCAATTAGGTTCTGGTCTATTTAACCCTACTTTTTGGTTCCTCTTGACTGTGAAATCCTTGCAGCACCATGGAACTGAGTATATCAGGTTAGCTGGACTGCTCTGAACTTTCACAAGATCAAAGCTTTACACTTATCTTCCTGAGTCCTCTTCTTCTTCTTCTTCTTCTTCTTCTTCTTCTTCTTCTTCTTTACATATGTTATTTCTACTTGCTTGCTGATTTAAGTGATATTTTGGTATTCAATGTCAGATCTGGAGGAGAGGATGAAGGTGTTAACATTGGGGGTAGAAGATGAAGAAGTGGGAGACACATTTGCAGAAAGGGCAGAATCATATTATCAGAAGCGTCCACAGTTGCTGACACTCTTGCAGGACCTGTACAATGGCTATATCACATTGTCTGATCGTTACATCCAGACATTGGCCAAACACAAGCACCACCACCACCATCACCATAGCAGGCACTCTTCTCAAGTTTCAACCATTGAAGATGGCTTTTCAGACCAAGAAGAAGCCAGTGGGATTAGCGGAATCAGCCAGGTTGATTCTGACATGGAAAGCTCTCTGTCTTTCCACCAGCCTCCTCCTCAATCCATTTTCTCTTCCAACACTCCCATGATTGACTTCGACTCCATTGTTGCCGAGCTTGTGATCAAGAATGTGGACTATGAGATTATGATGCACGAGGTTTCTCTGATGGAGAAGAAGTACTGTGAGTCTTCAAGGAAAATAGATCTTCAGAAGAGCCTGCTTGAGGTGTTGGAGTCAGAGAGGCTTGTTCTGTTGAATGAGAATGCTAGCTTGGGATTCAGAGTGAAGGCTTTAGTGGAAGAGAACAAAGGATTGGCCTCGGAGTCTATGTTTGTGAAGAGGAAGGCAGGGGAATTAGCCAAGTGTGTGGTAAAAATGAGGGAAGATCATAGAGTCTTCATGTTGCATAGGAAGATTGAAGATCTTCAGGCACAGATCCATGGGTTGGAGAAGAGGAACAAGGAATACTACGAGCAGCTTCTGGTAAGAGATAATAATGGACAAGAGCATGATAGTGGCTGCCTTGAGAAGAAAGGGAAGAACAGTGATGGGATCGCTTTGGAGATTCGGCTTCATATGCAGAGACTGAGTCGAAGGTTCAAGTGGAAGGAAGATATTGCAGGGAAGGATTGTGAGCTGAAGAAAAGTCCTAGTATGTGGAAAAAAGTTAAGAACATGGACTTTTTACTCTGTGGAATGAACCCCACATGTGCTTGATGTAACCAAGTTTATCACAAGTTTAGCTATGTATACACAGTTTGGCTCAAGACTAAATTATATGTAGGTTGTTGCTCTTATGTCTCACTGAGTTCTTAAGAGGGAAGCTAACCTTCCTCTAGTTGTTAATTTTGAAAAGCTAATTGCAGATGAATTCTCACCTTTTTCATGTTATTGCAAAGCCAAGTGAGACTATCTCTTGTTGTCTCACTGTAGAGCCTATTAGTTCTGCATATCTGGTTCTGTATTGCTTAACGCCAGACAGGCGGTAGTTATACAACTTAAGCTTATCAAGATACTTGCTTTGTTCCTGCACTCCAATTTCCTTTCATTTCTATGTTATTGCCTTGGGATTTGTTGGGATCTGCAGATAAAAATATTTATAAACACATAAATCGAAATAAATTATTTTTTAAAATACTTGGCCACTTTCGAAGTTGCTTATAAACCATTCGATTCCAAACGGCCCTTACTTGTTAGTTGTCATCTCTAGAAAAGCACCCCAAGCCAAATGCCAGCCAATGATTCTTGACCTGGTTTGCTGCAGGTTTACTTTCTGTAACCAGATTTCAATGCTCCCTGCCACTTAAAGGGGCGGACTGAAGCGTGATTAGATTATTATTGTCAGATCCAATGAATTGAAAACGAGTAATTAAACAATGATTCTATAGTTAATTACCATTGAGCAAGTGTCAGAATGTCTCTAATGAAAAGGAATTAAAAAAAAACATGGCACAAGGATGTCTGATATAAAGGACGGGGCAGTACTTAATTATTACTGACCCCGTTTGTAATCCTCTGAACCTGTTTGGGCGTGGTGCAATCATCCTTTACTGAAACTAAACGGAATAATTAGACATTGTTCTCCGGACAATGGAAATAATGACCGTGTGTAATAGGCTGCCGAAAATAATTACGTGTGCAGTGTGCTGAAAAGCTAACGGATCAGTAGGTTGGCTTAAAACAGAAAAACCAGGGATGTTTGGTTTACTTAAAAATTATTTTTTAAGAGTGTTTATATGAAAATCGAGACAATTCTTCTTACGTGCTTAGAAGAAGCTGGCGATGTACTGTTTTGTTTTTGTCTTTTTTAATTAGAAAACATAGGAGTAATAATGGGAATTTTGGCTGTAACCATTGAGCCATCCAATCAATACAATTATACATTTAGTCGAAAGTGACGAATCATTGTCGCATGATGATATTTCCAATTTCACATGAAGTATTATCATTCGGTGATTTAACAGAAAAAAAGGAACTTTTTTGATGAGTTTTAAATACACTCGATGGAATCAGCATCAACACAGAATTCACAGCAACATAGCATCCAGCAAAACTTCAGACCCTGCTAGGCTGCTGGTGGGCATGAATTTTTTTGAAGTTCATTGCAGGGTTCATACCTCTTGTCTCATTCCAATTTTATCGGATGTGTCCGAGGAAACATTTCACAGCTCTTGTTAACAAGAAAATACACTATTCCCCTAGTCTTTCCAGATGTGGTGGAGAACACATGAATCGATGTCAGTACTTACTTTTTAAAGTTCAAAGAGCAGATAGTAATCTGAAGTTATAAATGGAATTGAATTTATAGCTTTCTATTTTTTTAAAAAAATTCATGTCATTAGGCTATAGTAATAAGCATTAATACTTAGGACTTATTTGAAATGGTATAGGATTATTTAAAAATAGCTTTTTAATCCTAATTTATAAAATAGGAGATAAGTATTTAAAAAAATTTAGGAGATAAGTTTTTAAAAGAAGTTTTGTGTTATTCATAACCAATTCTAAACAGGGCTCAGCTTCTCTCCGTTGGCATTAGGAGCGGCGGATAAACGGCAGTTCGTTTGGAATATTTTGAGTAACGCAGGGGAGGGGATGCGTCGTGGCTCTAAAATTGAAGTCCTAAATTAAAGAAAAGGAGCCCAATCACAACTCACAAGGGCCAAGGCTTTGACGTTGTCATGTTACGAATACAGGGAGGATCCAGCAAATACCATCAAGTACAATTATAAAAACCAAATTAAAAAAATAAGTTGAGTTAGTTACTTATTCTAAATAGGTCTTGTCTTTTCTAAATATCTTTGCTAATCAAGTATATTGACTGGAACTATCATTGTTAGAAGGGCTACTTTGGAAAAAAATATATAAATATGAGAGACAAAATGGATTGATGTCTTATACTTAGGACTAAAATAAAAGTCAAATAGGGTCTTATATTAAAGACTGGAGGTAGTATTTTCATCTAAAATAAATTATTTACAAATAGACAAATACTACTTTCAATTCTTAATATAATAACTAATTGACTAATTTAAGTATATCAATAATATTTGTTGAGTTAGTTATTTGTAATAATTAGATATTGTCTTTCCTATAATACCTTTATTAATCATATATTAGCTAAAAGTACAATTTAATTAAACGTTTAACATATACAACTATTACAATGACTACTTTAAAAATAAATAAATATGAAATACAAAGTGACTTATAAATAGGGATAGAATAATACTTATCGTTTGAAAGACATCATATTACTAAAAGATAAGTATATCTATCAATTTAAAAAAGATCAAATAAAAGTTAAAAGAAATTGATAAGTTAGGTTAATAATATAGGGTTGAGGTAAAAATTTTGAAATTCTCACTCAAGAACGCTAGAAGGTTAAAATCATAGCAACACCATCTTAAAAATGTTAATAGTTAATGTTAATTAGTTTATACCTTATTCCAATAACATATGAAAGATTATGACTTATTAAAAGATAAGTATATCTAAAAATTCATAACGGATGTTTGTTAGATTTTTTTGCATTTATTTTTTATGCTGAATTTTAGATTATCTAACGGATTTGCCTGATCACATCAGGTAGGATTTGAGATTTGAAGTTTTATAAAAAAATTTAATTTTCCATTTCATTCTTTATTCACGGAGATCTTAACTTCATATGTATTATTTTAATTTTAAATTCTAAATTAAAGAAAAACCTAAATTCCTCATATTTCAAAGTATTAAAAGTTATCTTATAAAAAAAAAGTATTAAAAGTTAGATAAAACTTCAAAATCTAAAATAATGAAATATATGGAGAACAGTACATATGGTTTAGAATTAGATTACTAATCAATCAGCATTTAAGAGAACATACACTATATTAAATATTTAAAATCATCAAAACAGTTACTAACCATGTGGAACAATGAGCAGACTGAAACTGCATAGTCACTTTTTTTTTTTATTTCATTTTCATTTCTCCCATAAATTCTAGAAGTTATCTTATTTAGTAGGAAAAATTAGCGAGAAAGACTACCGGGAAATTATATTTACGGGAGAACACCATGAAAATTACAATTATTTAAAAGGACCAAATATTTAAATATAAATTTAAAAATACAGTATTGCCCCTATCCAAATCTCTTGTATTTTCTCCTATATTTTATTTTAAAAATAAATATGAATTAATAAATTTTTTTAAATTAAACATAATTTCTGCCCAAGTTTACACTTCAGTAAAAATCAAATGGGGAAATATGTAAACATTGTTGAGTCATGTAAAAATTAAAGTTTTGTTTTTTTAAAAGAATCTTAAATTTTATTTTTAAAACCGCCAAAAAAATAAAGTTATATAATTTTATTAAAATTCAACATTATGTTATAATTTATTATATAGGTTAAAGAATTGTTATATGCGTATAGAAAGTAAAAGAATTACGAAATTTTACATGACTTATTTTTTTAATTTTGCAAGAAATTTATATGAGTTTTAAAAAACAAGAAAACTCATGTAATGTTAATAATATAAAATATTATACATAGACAAAAAGTAACCTAAAGATGATATGAATAAGTGATATATTGATGATATGGTGGATACAAATCTTTGTAAAAAAAAAAAAGTTAAAAACAAATGATATAATCATTAATCATAAAATAAAGGGTTTTACCATTCTTTTCAAAAAGGCTGAAGATAAAAGGAGAGTCAGAATATTTGGCCAGGGAAAACGTAGTACTTTTAAATTTATATTTATATTTCAGTATTTTTTTTACCTGAATTTATATTTCAGTATTTATTCTTTTCAAATAATTACAATTTTTATAATCTATTGTAATTTGTAATACGGAGTAAATATAATTTTCAGCTGGTTCTGCTCGGTAATTTTCCTGGAGGCAGCGCCCCCGTAACAAAAACCAATAACAAAAAGCATATGAGATTGCCCTCCTAGGCTCCAATTCTCGCTTCATTTTCTTCTCTGCCCTCCCAACATCCATGGATCAGCCTCATGAAGTTGCGTCGCAAGTCACTATTCTCTACTCCCGTTTATCATCTTCTCGGTCGGATCGCCTCGCAGCCAAGCACGCTGCTTATGTTCTCTGGGGACTCGCATATGATGGTAACCATTCGAGCCTTTTATTATACGTACTCATATTTGTACTCATGCCTGCATAACCGTGTGCTTGTTTTAATTTTCTTATCCCATCCTTCCAACTTTGATTTCTTGGGTTCTCATCTTGAGGATGTTTATTACTTGCGTTCTTCATTGTTTTGGGTACTGCTGCTTACTCTTTAGTGCATCATTGTGATATTTGTCTCTTTGTTGCAGAGGTGATTAGTAGGAATAGTACATTGGACTGTGGAATCATTCCTGCTTTGTTAAAACATCTGAAAGCACCAGAACCAGTTGGAGAAGGTGATGTTGTTCCCAAGCCTTACGAGCATGAGGTGGAAGACGGATGCGTCGCGGTCCTTGGGCTTCTTGCTTGTAAAGTAATTCAGCAATGCAGCCTTGCGCTTTATCTCTCTGTGTCTCTCCCTCAAGATTCAAGAATCACTCTGAAAGTCATAGAAATTATTAATATTAATTAATTCCTTAATTTATATCAATATTAATACATAAACCTTTGGCTTCGATCATGAACTTCTCCATTTGTGATCGTCTGGGATGCCTGTGGTATGCACATTAAGTTTGTCACCGTTGTTCTAGTGCAGATGACGATGTTGGTTTGAACCCATTTTTTAATCCGCTTTCAATTTCTTATGAATCCTTCAAAATGTCTTTTAACTCAGAAATGATTTCTTTTGGATTTCATCTTGAGCAGCCAGAGCATCGACAACGCATTGTCGATGCTGGAGCTTTGCCCTGTCTTGTTGATTTGTTAAAGAGGCACAAGACCTATAACAATTCACCGGCACTTTCTGGCCTTTTAAAGAGAGCAGCTGATGCCATCACAAACCTTACGGTCGACTATGACAGCATTAAAACCCGTGTTGGGTATTCTATTTTCCAGGCCTTTGAAACATAATTAATTTCTTTGAATACTATATTGCCTCTCTCAAAGGTTTGTTGTACCTTCAGGATGGAAGGCGGTATCCCTCCTCTTGTTGAGTTGCTTGAATATGATGATGCAAAGGTACAAAGTGCAGCTGCAGGGGCCTTGCGAAGTCTTGCATTTAAAAACTATGAGAACAAAAAGCAGGTGGATGACTTTGCATGGCTACTTGGTTTCTCTTGTAGATCGTTATGCTTTAGTTATTGTTAATGATATGAATCACTAATTGCAGATTGTTGGATGCAATGCGCTGCCTGCTCTCGTACTAATGCTTGGATCAAAGGATGCTGCAACACATCGTGGAGCGGTTAGGCCCTATTTTTATTTTTGTCCTCTGTTTTTTTAATTTCCCATGCTGTGATTTTTCTAGAGCCAGCTCAATTCGGAACTTTGCAGGTCAACTTGACTGCAACCCTAGTCCGGTCTTCTCCTGACATACAGAGGGAAGTTCTTCGAGCTGGTGCTCTACAACCTGTAATTGGGTTGCTTAGGTAACGTTATTCTGGACTTCTGATTTGCCCTACAAACTCTCTGAATTACTTTTCTCAAGTTCACAATTTCAATGACAGATCTTGCTATTCCGAAAGTCAAAGAGACGCAGCTCTTTTAATTAGTCTACTTGCGGAGACAGATTCTGATTGTAAGGTGGATTGCATTACGTGTGTTGCATTTAGATGGTTTTATAAAATGCTCTTGTTATTTCCTCCATGTTTTTTTTTTTTTTGTGGTCATAACCAGCAACCACATAAGGTTGTGTTTCATACAGGTTCATATTGCTCAAAGAGGGGCTATCCAGCCACTGATTGACATGCTTAAGTCTCCAAATGCACAGCTTCAAGAAATGTCGGCTTCTGCACTGGTGAGATTGGCTTAGGTGATTATTACTACATTGATCAATTTGTTGTATAAGGAATATAAACATTGATGACATTAGTTATTAATACTTATCAGTGGCTAGCCTCGGGAGTTTAAAAGGTTTAAGCCATTAGTAAGTGAGTATTTTTTTTTATGGCCCATTTGGAATGACTTATAAGTAAGCTTTCGATCGTGATTTACAGAATATAAGGTTAGTACTTGAGAGCAGTTTTGTCTCGATTTATGTGAAACGTGCTTATAAGTGATTTTAAACGTAATGACAAGTGGGGCCTATATATTTGTAACTTGAAGTTTTAATTCTAATGCTGATATAACCAAGTGAGCAATATAAAATTATGTGTAAGACTTATCTCTGGCCAGTTCTTTCATATTCCTTTGTGCTTTTTGTGATGCTTGCTTTAGGACACACACAATCAAGCTGGTATTGCTTATAATGGAGGTATAGAGCCTTTAGTCAACCTTCTTTGCTCTAAGAATGGGCATCTCGGACAATATGTAGCCTTTGCTCTGTATGGTCTTGCTAATAATGAGATGAAGTGTGTTGCCTGCTTCCTTGTTGAATCATCAATGCGTGTTTCCCCTTCATAATCATCCAACTTTTTTCCTTAATAGGACAGTGTTGTGGATATTATTAAGGTTGGTGGGGTTCAAAAACTACAGGATGGAGATTTTAAAGACAAGGTATGTTCATTTATTTTTCATTAACATAAAATTAAGAGGCCTGCATGGAACTTTTTCCAAGATGATACATTTCTTGTTTGCCAAGATATATTATAGAAATCGTTCTCTTTGGTTTATCAATATACCTCACAAGTCTTATGTGGCTTGCAGGTTGCTAAAGCGTTGGTGGGAAAGACAATGAAAAGATTAGAGAAGAAAATGCATGGACGTGTGAGGTACCCAGAAATTTTATTTGCTTGGACTAGAAAACCCATAAATATGGGAATATCTTGATGTCTAGGGATCAGGTTTTCATTTTTATGTTTGGTACCCAGAACGTTCAGTTCAATGTGTTTCCTTTCAAGTTGGGTAGTGTTGCCCTCCTCCATATGTGCTATGCATGTTAGAATTGAAACCATTGAACTTGAACTTAGATTTCAAAGCAATAAAGAAAAGATTAAAAGAAAAATGATCTCATGTGAATGCTCATGAACAAGAACCATTCGAAGAACCATGCACACTTATACAGCGAAAGGGCAAATGAATGTAATTTCCAATAAAAAAAAGATAAATAAATAACTGATCCAGATCCAAGAAAGTGTATTTTAGCACAAGTCCTAAACTATAACCATTTTAACAAGATATGAATTCAAGAGAATTATTCAAAATCAGTATTAATCTAGCGAAGGAAATAACTAAAAACATTAAAACTCATATTAGCTCACAACAACATTTGCCGACAAGGTTAAGAATAAAAACAGGAAGGCGGTTAGGTAGTTGGATAATTAGTTGATTGGTGTCAGTAAAAAGAATGGATCGTATTGGATGAGAATTGAATTCCGTTTCTCTTGTTTTCGTCGTCTGTCTCTCGTCCCCCACACCCAAAAGAAAAAAGTTCTTCAAAATTTGGTCATGAAATGAGGCTTTCTAGCCGACTTGGTTGTATTCTCTAGGATTTATAACGTGTTCCTTTATCTGACCAGGCATTGAGGAAACAGTTAGCAGGGGAGTTCACTAACTGTCTGCTCTTACAACATGCTCTACTGCACTTATTGCATGGAGACCACTTTGTTAGTGCCTAGGAAGTCAGTTATGGTCTGTTTAGGATGACTAGGAAAGGACGTTTGAGTTTTATTAGAGATTTTTATTGTTTAAGATCCTTACACCTCATCTTATGGTAAAAGTAAAATAGCTTCTGTTTTTCCCCTTTGCTCCCTGATTTTATCAATTCAAATACGACTACTTTTTAAGAATTCCCAAGGCCGATTTAGCCTCGCTTTTAAAGGATTTCTTTCTGCTCATACCTCTCTTTGAAAAATGACTATAAAGCTTTAAAACTTCAACGTTAAATGAAATCTTCTAAACTGCTTTTATTTTAATTGTCCAGCTCAAGCAAGATGCTTGAGCCTTTAAGAAACAGTCATAGTTCTCTTTAGTGTTCAACACATGATTTCTTTTAGAGCGTTCCTTTGGTAATTTTATGGCATTGCTTTTGTTTAGCCATATTTAAAGATGATGTTTATATACAAAGAAATTTCTTTGCTCCTATGAAGACGAATCATCCCATATACATGTGTGTGCGTGCGCGCGCTAGTTGTGCAGTGTTTACCTCCTCCAGATGCGCTATACATGTTAAATTTGAAACCACTGAACTTGAACTTAGATAGCAAAAGCCTGAGCATTGAAAAGAAAATACAACCAAATTAATGGATTTTTCATTTGGAATATGGGAAGTGTAAAACAAGGCTTATTCTATTGAGGTTAAAAAACAAAATAGTGATGAATAACGCTAAAAACAAAAAAAACAAAAACAAAAGAACGACAAAGGAAATAAATTAAATGCGATTAAAAAAATAATGAGAAGAAAGGAAGCAATGACCATACTCAACTGAGGGTGATGATGGGTAAGTCATTAATATCTAAAACTATATAAACCACCAGCCCGAAGCACAATTTGATTCAGGGCAGAAATTATTCCATTTCAGCCCAATTAAATTCCATCACTGATATTCAATTAAAAAGTGACATTGAATTGGTAAATTTGAATAAATTTCATATTCTTTCATCAGTTCTACGGGACCAGGAAAAGTTCAGTACAGTACAGATATACAAATTTGGGAAACAAAACTCTCTCCCCTGTAATGTGGAATATATTGACAGGTCGCTCTCAAACATCAGGTTAAACCCCAAAATCTTGCCAAGAGAATGGGTCTTGTGTGATCAAATAGTTCATTGAAAGAAGCATCTTAAGTCATTGCAACACTTAATCATTTCACTATTTGATAAGTCTGTTACTTGAAGGCCTGCGGATGCCAGTAAGATAGGTCCAATTTTTTTTTTTTTTTGGGAGGGGGGGGGGGACATTTTATCCATCTACCAATATCTGGATTTTTCTTTGGTTAAAGTAATAGTAAAGCTAGATATTGCTTTGGAAGAACTAAGCTGGAGAAAATATATGGAATTTTCTTGGAGGTACTTCAGAATGCATCGCAAAGCATGAGAAAGTAAAGGAGACCTAAATCTGGCGCAAGTGACCCATTATACCTGGAAAATAGTAATCAAATCACCCTGAAATCAGTGCGATTAGATTGCACCTTTGTTCAGAAGGTACGTCTCATAACTTATTAGCAGCAGCAACTTTTTCCTCAAGTTTTGCGATCCGCGCCTGCAAACACATAGCATGAATGAGAAAGAAGTGATGGCTTTATCCATGCATCAAAGAATCAATTTTCACAAGATTAAGCTCGATGGATTATCTTTCAAGAATATCTAACTATCAATGATTAATAATTATACTGCCACGGGAAACTATTAATAGAAGTCAGCCCTCAACCGAGGGAAATAATAAAAAGTTATCTCAAGTCTTGCCATATCAACCTTCAAGCAAAATTCAATAGACAGGGATGCAGACAGTTATAAGATAAATGAAATACAAGTGATTTAAATGTCTAAATGGTGTAAAGATTGAATGCCACCTTGAATGATTTAGATCTTCGGATTGAAGGATCTATATCTATAGATGCCAAATATGACTTTTCTGCTGTATCAAATTGCTTCAATTCCAAAAGTGCATCACCTTGGCAGAGATAAGCCTGCAAAATCACAAAATCTATTTCAGTGACATGCTCCGAAACCATTGAAGTACATTTCATTTTGGCAGGAGTCATGAAATCATAAATTAATAAATTAAATCCATATAAAAATTTATTGGGTAAGAGCAAAGAACACCACATTTAAAACGAATATTCAAACTGATGATAAGCAACTAAAACTAATAGTTAGAATATCAGGGCTGTTACAGAAACAAGAAAATCATATCCTGGCTAATTGAGATAAGTTCCTGGATATTGCTACGCTTCTCAGCTTTATGAAGGGCAGAATCCCCTTGATGAAATTATTTATCAAGCTTTTGGTGGAAGTCAAAACAAAAATACTCAATGTCACTCAAAACTTCACCAAGTCAGCTGTAATTGCAGCATTTCACTAGCAGTTATGCTACACCAAAGGTCCAATCTCTTGGTTCACCAGCAGCATCTTTACATGGATAATTTAAATAGAAGATTGGATCCGTCAAACATGATTTTAGAGGGTCTGAACAAATTAATTCCCTCGTGCTGCTTACTAGATTGAGTATTTCAAATGCATCAATAGCCAATTCAAAACAACACTGGATTACTCAATCTATGGCCTTCACGGGATCTTAATGTATAATTACATGTTATGAGTGTTCGGAGATTGAAAAGGAATACAAATTGGTGCCCCATCTTTACACATGTACACCATGGGATTTAACGGGCATCCTTGAGCAGTGAAGTGTCCAGGAACCACTGATTTCTAGAGAACTGTTCGATCATGTAACCCAGAGAATATATTTTCTTCCTGTGGCGTTTAATGAGTTAAATATCATACTTAACCACCATGATTTGGAATGCCATGAAACTGTTTTCATAAAAAATTTAGTAAGAGTTTGCCTCACCTCAGCATACTCAGGCGCTAATTCCAAAGCCTCCCTTGCGTCATCTAGAGCTCCAGAATAGTTACTCAATGCCAACCTTACAGCTGACCTGAATGTCAGTAGAGAAGAAGTCTCAAACATGCAAATCATGGTAAACACAGTGGAAGTTGAAACTCTTCAGGACATAAATGACTATGTTCAATAAGAAATGAAAAGGGAAAACTATATTTTCTTATGCCTCACGACAAATTGGCAGCAAGTAAACAGTAAAACATTTGGCGAGCTATATCTTCTGAAACAATAGGCAACAAAAAATGCCTCTTTCGTTAACGATGACGAGATGAAAATAATTGATAGGAAATCAAATTACAAAACCATTAAATCGAGCAGAACACCAGTTCACGACGTTATACAGGGCCAGCATAATAAACCTTCGCAGGAAAATTTTTTTTGAAGTTTGTGACCACATACCTACATTTATATATTACGTGTATACCACCGAATGGTTTTAATTCGATAGCCTGCACTGTCCAAAACCCCGACAATATCAGTCTCAATATAGCTTCTCAACTCCGATCTAACTCCATAAAAAATTGAGCTGTTAATTACAAAACTACTATAAGTTTTTCTTAAAAACAAAAGAAGAAATCTAACTTTTCGATAGAATGAATGTTATTAAAACAGTAAACTTCACACTTAGGCTCGTAAAGGATGGAGTGCCTGTGAGAGCAGAAGTTCAGCCTCAGTGAAATTCTGCTTCTCGAACTCAATTTCAGCTCTCTTCCTCAGTGCAAGCGCATCTAAACTCTTTTTTGCATCATATGAATCCGAACCTTCTTCCATAGAAACCACACCCATCATGACCTCAGCCGCTCGAGCCGCCGTTCCGCAATGACCAACGATAAGACCGTCCGGCAGGACCGCAAGGTTGGGACCAGCACCGCACTTTCCCAAACACCCGCACGGTTTTACGGCGACGTTAGGAGGAGCAAGACCGGAAAGGGTTTCTAGGGTTTGAAATGAGCCCTGTTTGCGGCAAGTCCGATTCGTGCATACCCGAATTTCTTGTTGCTCTGCTTCGACGGAGAAAGGAAGATTTCGACGGCGACGGCGACGTTGACGTTTTGAAGGAGCAAATGGCGTGGTAGTAAAAGGGGAAGGAGAAGTGAGGGAGGAACCGGGAAGTGCCTCCATAGATGGATTCCCACTTCACTCTCAACCTGTCGGGTTTCCTGCCGTTAACTCCCGCGCGATGGCGCAATCTCTTTGGTTGGCATTTGGGAACGACCTTTTTTTCGCAATCGATATTTTTGTCGGGAGATTTTTTTAAACCGTAAAAAAAAAATATTTTTAATCCTCTAATTCTAAAATTATTAATATTAAATAATGATTTTCTGTAACAATCATGATTATTTTAAATATTAAATTTAATATGTTAGTTTTTAGTAATATTTTGTCAGCATTTAAGAATTTAATATTATTATTTTTTGTTAATAATTTTAGGGTTAGATGACTAAAAATTTACTTTTTAAAATGAAGGAATTAAAATAAAATTTTATATAAAGTTAAAGAACTAAAATTATACTTCAGCCTTTTTTTTTAAAAGATTAAAATACATAATCTGACGAATAAAAAATTCTTACAGGGAAAACAATTCTTTCACTTATTAATGCCAACAATAAATCAATAAATCAATATTAACGTGTTCCTTATGTATAAATAGATTTTCATTAATTTAACTCCAGTTTTAACATTTTAATGCCCATTTATTACCCAAGACGCTCTTATCTATTGAGTTTTTTCTTTTATTAATATGATCGTTAATTTGCTTTTCTAGACCAATTACAAGATAACCGAGTCCTGCACGTGGATATTCAATCCATTTTTTTAAAAAAATTATATATCGATGCTTTATATTATTGGGAAAATGACAGATAAAGAAAGTGGAATATCTAAAATTCTAATTTGAGAAGTTAAGGAAATGTAATGACAATGAAGGAAGTCCTTCCCAAATTGGAATTTTGAAATTCAGTGAAATGACAAAAATGTCCTTTATTTATTTATTTTTTTAAAACTCAGCCCCTCACCGACGGTCGGCAGCCACCGCTGGCAACTGGTTGCCGCCACCGAGCACTGGTGTGGTGGCTGCCGGTGGAATTTTTTTGTAACAGTTTTTTTTTTGTATTGGAGAATATTGCAAGAAGTGATGGGGGTGGGATTTGATCCCACAACCCTTGGCCATTTGGGCCAACAAAAAAATAGATGACCATTGGGCCATCAACAACTTCTTAAGTTTTTAATGCAAACAAAAATATAAGTTGACTATTTTACTATGACTCCAGCCTGTGACAAGAATTTACCTCAGGATGACAAGTCTTAATTGAGAAATAACAAGTCTAAATTTGATATTAACAAAGCAATTTTTCCTGATACATAATAAGAAATAACATGTATATTAATTAAAAATGACAATTTATTTGAAAATGACACGTCTTTACTGGAAAATAACACGTCTAAACGTGAGATTAACAATATGCCTTTTTCTGATACATAATAAAAGGTAGCATGTACATTAATTAAAAATGACTATAATTTATTTGAAAATGACACGTCTTTATTGAAAAATGACAACTCTAAACTTGAGATTAACAATGTGTCTTCTCTTGATACATAACAAGAAGTAGCATGTATATTAATTAAAAATGACCATAATTTATTTGACAATGACACATCTTGTTATGTATCAGGAGAAGATATATTGTTAATGCTACTTCTTGTTATGTATCAAGAGAAGACACATTGTTAATCTAAAGTTTAGACTTGCACATTGTTAATCTTAAGTTTAGACTTGTCATTTTTTAGTAGAAGACATATTGTTAATGCTACTTCTTGTTATGTATTAGGAAAAGACACATTGTTAATCTCAAGTTTAGACTTGTCATTTTTCAGTAAAGACGTGTCATTTTCAAATAAATTATGATCATTTTTAATTAACATACATGTTACTTCTTGTTATATATCAAGAAAAGTTGTTTTATTAATATCAAATTTAGACTTGTTATTTCTCAGTTAAGACTTGTCATCCTGAGGTAAATTATTGTCACGGGTTGGAATCACAGTAAAAAAGTCAACTTATATTTTTATTTGCATTATAAAGTTAAGAAATTTTTTATGGCCCAATGGTCATCTGTCTTTTTGTTGGCCCAAATGGCCAAGGGGTTGTGGGATCAAATCTCACCCCTACCACTTCTTGCAATATTCTCCTATACAAAAAAAAAACTGTTACAAAAAAATTTCACTGGCAGCCACCGGTGAGGCGGTGAGTTTTTTTTTAAAAAGGTAAAGGGTATCTTTGTCATTTTACTGAATTTCAAAATTTTAATTTGGGAAGGACTTCTCTCATTGTCATTACATTTCCTTAGCTTCTCAAATTGGAATTTCAGATATTCCACCTTCTTTATCTATCATTTTCCCTATATTATTTTCACTAAAGCTTGATATTAGCCTTTTTAATTTATTTTTAAACTTAATTAGAATCCACCAACTTTATTTGGATTTATTAGACAAATGTATAGGATTTGAACCACAGAATTTTCTTCGCTGCAAAAAAAGGGGCACAAACCAATACTTCGAATTACAATTTGCTTAAAACTTATAACTTCTTTTATTTTTATTTTTAATTTATCTCTTCTTTATATCCTGTATCACTAAGTACTAATCATATCCATGTTTCCTCCTAACACGTGAAGTTGCCACCTTTGACCCCGCAAGATATTGTCAACAAATATTGTATCGCCCCAAACTGTGGAACAGCACATGTTTTTTTCCTCCTCTTCCTCCTTTATTTACGAGGATCAAATTTTAAAATCTTATTTGTAATCTCTTTTTTTTTTGGCTATTTTAATGCAACTGTCCAAATAGAGATTTTATTTTATTTTATTTTATTTTGGAATTGGCAGTCTTATGATCGGGGGGAGAAAATTGATTCGAAGATGAAGGACATGCGTTTATACAAAATGCTTGGACATCATATATAATATAATACATTCAACTCTATGCTTTTATTCATATTTTTTGAAAAAAAAAAAAGCGCTTGTAATTATATAACAAAGATATTATTTTTTTGGCCTGAATACAATAAATTAAGATTTTAAAAAACAAGAAGATAAAAGAATGAAACTAGAACCACAATGTTAAGACTGGATGTTAACTGTAAGCAATGAAATTCCCAGGCTGCTGCAACTTTTATGATATCTCACAAGCTTCAGAACTTTGAATATATTACATTTGTTTTCCATATATTCCTCCGATCCATTTTCAATATGAGTTTGTCTCCCAGTTGGTTTGCCACCATAAGAAACTCTATATATATATATATATATATAAAAGCCTCGATCATTCTACAAAAAAACAATTGATGACGCATGTGTTAGTACTGCAGATTAAATATAAATATATATAATGATGCATAAATATAAATTTTCATACATCATACCTCTCTATACAATTACAAAGCTTCTTTCAATTATGTTCATAAGTCTTCGATTGCGACTTCTCGTTATTTTTCTCTTTATTCCTCTTTGCTCTGGCTCGTTTGAAGGACGTTCTTCAGATCAACAATTTGGAAGAAAAAAATGATGTAAGAATATAAAGGAACATATATATCGGAGGCTATATCTATCAATAGAAATTATAGTCATCAAGTCCTATTTACGCTAATATAAGAAAAAAGAATTTCTAAATCCGACGAAAAATATCATTCTAAATTGATTTTGAAACTAATTTGTTTAGAGAGGGTTTAAAATGTCAAAAAATTTCTAAACCAACTGTACAATTGGTCAAGCAACATATTTTCTAGATCTGTTCCCAATGACAAGTACAGATTAGATAGTGCCCAACAAAAAAATACTCCCACGGTTTAAAATATAAGACACATTTTATAATGTAATTTATATTTACGATCAAAGGAATATAAGGCAAAAAAGTGACTATCTAAATTGGTTATCACCTGAAACCGATCTAAAAATTATACAGAATCAAACCTTCTATAGAACTTGCCAACTATAGAGAGATAAGTCAAGCGCGCGTGCGTGTGTAGGACAGGATCATTTCACCTGAAGAGAAATCTAAATCTGATATAGAGACATTTCAATTACCTGCAAGTATTGGGAACCCTCCATCTTGGGTGTGAACGTTGTTTCTCATCTGGATTCAAAGCCATATAGCGTCTCCAGTCTTCAAGCAATATCTTAAGATCAAAGATTTTGTTGTCCATACCAACACAGCAATTGGCATGCATGGTACAAACTCTGTTGAAATCTCTACTCACTTCACAAAACCCTCCAAAATAGGCTGTGTTGAGGAACCTTATCGTCATGTTCCTTTCAGACACAAATGGGTGTGTCTTGATCTTGTTCAGCACGTCTTGTTCGTTCAGTTTTGGGTCGATTGATCTTGATTCAATCCACAACTTGTAGAAATCTATGGTTTTGGGATTAGATCTTACGTATAAGAACCCTCCATTTGGCCAGTTATTTGTGTCTGATGAGTTGCCGTTAAAGTGATCACAAGCAATTTGGAAGTCTACGTCCTTGAAAAACCTCTCAAACGGGTCTCTAAGCCACATTATGTCCAAGTCCTGCGTAGCATCATGAGGATGATGAAAAGGTTCACTATATGAGTGATGGTTTGCGTACAAAGTAAAGATAAGTCTGAACAGAAAAAAAAATCCCAAAAAACTAACATAATAAAAGAAAGAGTTCTTTGTAAGTAGTCTTCTACTTAATTATTCGGCTTTCAATCAAAGCACTTTTTACCAAATGACAATGGCGCCTGCAAAGAAGAACCCTTATAAACTACGTTAGGCTTGTGAGTCTTTTCAATGTGGGACTCATAACAATATCTGTTCTAATAAGAAAGAAAACATACATACCGTGAACACGAAGCTATAACCAGCCTGAAGGACGGAGCTAAGGAACTCAGTTCTACGCCACATCATGTGGAGATATTTGGGGGTCATGAAGAAGGTATCACCACCATAATCTGCTTGGTCACCTTTCGACTCCATCTGATAACAGTGTGGATGCAACTCCAAGCAACGATTATAAGCCTTATGATCCCAAGTTACGAGCACCAAGTGGTTCAGCAGTTTCTGGGTGTCGTTTCCGATCCGAAAACTCTCGAGAAACAGGTCGAATATTGAACCCGGTTCGATCCACGCATCGTTCAGGGTTGCCAGTATCACCGTCTTGTCCTCCATTGATGCTCTTCTCAGAACTCTCTCTAGCTTTGACTCACTCACATTGACATTGTTTTCCTAGCAGTATCAGAAATAATGCACGTGTTAGTATTATTTAATGCACCATGATGTGAAGGAATAATATTCGAGGAATAAGAATAAATATGTAATTGCCAAAAAAGAATGAATAATCGTAACTTTTTTCTTTTTGCCTGAAAGAATCTGTACGTCTCAAAATTAATTGTAGTCTTTTATTAACAGAAAATACATAAGAAAGGATTATCAGGAATTAAATTTAGGGAAAAAGGAAAAGATAATCATAGCAATCAAAAACCGGCCTGCCTGCTAAGGGTCTTATACACGATTACTAATAAATTAATTAATCAATTAAAAATAACAACCAGAAATGCTAACAAACTAGCTAGGGAGCTAGGCACCTATTTTTTCAAAGTTACACTGTTTGAAAGGGGAAAAAAAGTATCTGGCCAAAAAAAAAAAAAGAAGGGGGAAAAAAGTAACGCTCGGTTACGTACGAGACGGGGTCAACGCGTAACGGAAGTTTTTCTTTTCTTCTATGTCACAATATTTAGTAATTGTAAATTCTGCGCAACGCAAGAAATTTTCATGGTATAATTAAAAATTAAGAGGTTGGCAAGCAAAAAAATTAAGAGATAAACAGTATTATTATTTTTTGACCAGGGTATTAATTTATTATTTGCCAACTTATTATGTGTACACGCACATATTGCATATGTTGATTGATGATTATTACAGCAAAACATATGATATCTTGCATATACGTCTGGAGATTCTTGAAACAACTGTATAAAAAAAAAGTTTGTAATTTAAAAATTAATTAGGGTGACCTCATGGACAGAATAGGATTTTTAAAAAACGGAGGCGCACCTACCATTCTTATATGAAGGAGTTCGAAAGTCTGGCACAGAGAGAGAGAGTTTCAAGAAGGGAAGAGAGCATTGTATAATAGCCAGAGTGAATTTGATTTTTTTATATTTACCAACTTTTAAATATATATATATATATATTTTGTTGAGCCTAGAATATCCGCAATGACTAATCCTCTCACGCTATAGATTTTCTAAAGAGATTTTAGTATTAATCATGAGATTCTTTCTACACGAGCGGCAAGGAATCAAACCTCAAACTAAATGTTTAAGTAACCCAAAAGTATTAACTATATTAGGTCTCATGATTTTTAAAAATATATATTATTTCTGGTCTTAATTATAAGATTTTGTTTATAGATTATAAATAAGGTTTTGTAATGAGGACCGGAGACTGTATTAATTCGTATCAGAGTACATTTTCTAGTCAGACATAAACATGTGATTTAAGCCTAAGGTTTTTTGTAAGGATGCTGGATTGCGTCCTTACGAGCCGATAGAGACTAGAGAGGGAGGTGACAAAAAGAGTTAATGAAAGGGGCAAGAAAGCGTGAAGGGGGGCCGGAGAATAAGTTGCCCCCAAACGGTTTCGCCTCGTTATTCCCCAAGTTGCTGCCACTATTCTCTCTTTCCTAACTCCTATTATTATCCTCAACTCAGGTTTCTATTCCATTCTCTTCCTTATTTTTCTCTCTCATGTTTCTCACGGAACCTATGACCAGCAAGCTTCCACCTCACACTCTTACTTACTAGTCTTCTTGGCTGCTCAAAACCATGTCCACACTAATCACTAATCGCTTTGCTTCAATCACATATACTAATTAAACCCAACATGATCCCAGGTTTCATTATTCAAATCCTTTCAAACATTAATTCGATCAACCTGATTGTAACTAATTGATTACATCATGAACATGCACAAGTCAAACCCAGAATTACCACAGAAAGAGAGAGAGAGAGAGAGAGACTCACCTTGGGTTGTGGGATGGAGGGAAATTCCACAAGAGAAGCTGAGGTGAGCAGAAACACCGCCAACACAGACAACCCCACCAGCACCATAGTGATCACCGACCACCTTCTCACCACCACGGCACCGCCCAAACCACCCCACTTCCAGGGCTTGCCTTCGCCGCCGGAGAAGGACGAATCAGGCAGCAGAGCTTCTGGTTCGTCTTCTTCGCCCGCACGTACATGCTCCTCGCCTGTGTACTCACCCATAAATCACTGTACATACGAAGAAGACCAAGTTACGAAGACGAAGAACGGTGAGGTGTGTCTATATATATATATATATATAGAGAGAGAGAGAGAGGGAGGGAGGGAGGGAGGGAGGGAGGATAGTTTGTCTTTGAATTTCGATCTTATAAGTAATGTTATTCCATGGCGGGTTCAGAAATGGCGGACCGGGGGAGGGTCTTAAAAACAACAGGCCATTAATAATGGTCAAAACGGATCGGAGAGAGTAAAACAATTCTTTAATTTTTTTTCCTTGTTATTAAATATTTTAATTGGGATTTAACACTGACATGCTCAAGTTGTGTGATAAACTAATCATAAAAACACTTTTTTAATATATAACCATAGTGCCTAACTTCATTCAATTCAAAAGGGAAGCTTCTTTTCACTTGGCAATCTCGAATGAGTTAAAATAATAATAAAGTATGTTTTTCCTATTTATTAAACGTCCCGTTGCCAAGATGTATATCATCAGTGGGTTACAGTTACTAATTTTTCTTAAAATTATTTTTAATTTGCAAAAATTTAAAAGAAATTATATAATAATAGTATTTATGAGAGTTGCGTGTGATGAGGAAAGTAATTAATAATATAAGTAATTGAGGTTGATGATTGATGTGAGTGGGAAGAAAATGTATACAGGAGATTCTTGTGTCCCAGCTACTTGTCCCATTTCTCACAACTTGGCTTTGTTCTAATTCTCCACTTATTCTGTGCCACGAGCACCCAACCAACGAACGCCTGTCCTATTACTAGCTATTATCTTACAAACCTTCGATTTAAAATTATATTTGGCCAAACAAAAAGGAATTAAAAAAGATATAAATTAAATTTTAAATTATTCTTATAAATTTAATGATTGATTGTGGTTGAATTTAGTATTAATAAAGAACTCAATTGAGGTCCAAACCAGCCTGAATGCATCTGGGTTAGTTGATATATAGTGCCAAATTCTAGCGCGTCCGTCAAAAAACAATTTTTTGCCGACGTCAAAAAATTAAATATTAAAAATTTGAATTACTACCTACTGTTATTAATATAAGATCCTGTTTGACTTTTATTTTGGTCCTAAATATAAGACCCCAATCCATTTTGTCTCTCATATTTATACATTTTTTTTCCCAAAATAACCCTTCTAACAATGATAGTTCTAATCAATATACTTCATTAGTAAGGATATTTTAGGAAAGAAAACACCTAATTAGGACAAATAACTAACTCAATTTACTTCCTTAATCTCCTCAAATTAGTCAACTGACTCTTATAATTAGGACCGGAGGTAGTATAAGTTAATAGGGACAGCATCATCAGATCCATAAGTAATTTTTTTCCATACTAATGATGGAAGGGTACTTTTTATAGTATTGAATAATTGAAACCCGTTGTCTGTCCCCTTCCACACGATGATGGCCCCTTCCACTCGATGATGGCGACCCTTATCTTGTAGGCTTTTGCTAGCTAAAAGGTCATTTTCTAATCCGCGCACTTGTTAATTTTATTGGCTGTTAAACTGGCATATATATTAGAATATTCTTCTTTTTTAAAAAAAAAAAATCAGCTGCCTGCGTTTAACTTTTGCACTAACAAGAAAATTGATTGTCCAAAACCTTGCTGAAATAATTAATATAAGAGAGAATTACAATAAAATCTTAATAAAAAAACATAATTATTAAAAAATCTCAATAACAATTTAGCAGTCTGTAATAATAAGTTTTAAAGTAGAAAATGATAACCTCTAATATGTTATTGAGACTTTATTTATGGTAGTTATATATTTTTCTTGAGACCTTATTGTAATTCTCCCTTAATACAATAAAATGACAAAAAGTTTGACAAATAAATACTTCAACATTTTAGTTAAATATAAGTGTTTTGTTATCTTTAAAAAAATTTTAAAATGAAATGTGAAAATATACAAGAAAAATTGTAGAAAATACTTCGATTGAAAATTTTATCGACAAGAAGGCGGACCTGATAAGTTTTTACGAATAAAAAGTATTGGAATTTCAAAAATTTTATAGACTCCTAACATTCTTACTACTCATCAGGTTCTTAATATAAAACTTCTTTAATTAATTTAATTAGATTAAAAAAATTAAACAAGTAAGTTGATTATAAGAAATATGATTTTTTTCTTAAAACATCATAATCATTTTTAATTTCTTAACATCCTTCTTTTTTCTCCTATTTAATCATAGTTGAATAAGTATCAATAGAGATAATTTAAAAAATAAAAAATATAAAAAATATGTTTTATATTTAAAATTAAAACTAACTCAAGAATTAAATTCTATAACAAAGGTAAGAAGAGTATATACTCTTGAAATAGAGATGCAACAAAATAATAGAGTCATAAATTAAGGGACAAGCAAAGGAAATGTTGAACACGGTGGCGTCTTGTCCAGCGACCAGCGTTGACTGCGCTCACCAAAATATTTTATTTTCTGTTTTTTTTAAATGCCATGTTCATATGCTATTGGAATACAGCTGACAGCAAATAACATATAACAAATATCATGAAATTATCAATTATGTGTGATTTATTTTCTTTCAAGTTTATTAAGTTTTGTAAAAATTGTCGCCAAAAGAAAAGGCTTGCATCTATGTATGATCTGCCTCTTAATCGAATTTGGATTTAGATTAACCAACTCAGTATAACCCAAAATAAAATAGTTGAGATACCAAAATAAATCTAATAAAGAAAAAATAAGGTTCGGAGTAGATGATTCATTTAATTGGCCAAAAATAAAAAGGAATTCTTGAAAGTTACTACACTGCTTGCAGATGCAAGTCATCTTAAGATGTTGGTTTGTTAACTATAAGTTATTTCAATGGTATATTTTAATTACATATTAAAAAAAAAAATGCAGCTAGTCCTAATTGTAGGGATATAAGGAAGAATGTACGAGTTTCACCATAACTACTCTTCCGGCTTTAAATATAAAGGTCTTATATTTAGGATCGGAAGAGTAATAAAAATAATATCAATTAACGGAATTAGGTCTAGGAGAAAAGGTTAGTTCACCACCTTACGAGTTTCACCATAACTACTCTTCCGGCTTTAAATATAAAGGTCTTATATTTAGGATCGGAAGAGTAATAAAAATAATATCAATTAACGGAATTAGGTCTAGGAGAAAAGGTTAGTCCACTACAAGGTGGTGAACCAATATTCAAATACCAATTGGGAGAGGCATCTGCTACCTGATAGTACTTCAAATAGAATTATCTCTTATAAAAGGATACTTATAAAAAAATAAAAATAATATCTGTTAAAAAAATAATAAATATGAAAAATAAAATAGATAAAAGTCGTTAAAATTAAACCAATTATCTAGCAAACTCCAATATTTAGAACAATAAAATAAGGAAATATTATTTAAATTCTATGACGACGCTGACTTTGTCTCGAAACACTCCACTATAGTCACTGTTTAAAGGTATTTGCATCCAAATTAAGAAATACTCCCTCCGTTCCTTATTATAAGAGACATTTGATGTTTATGGCATGTTCCTATATATAAGAGACACTTAAAAGTTGTCTCTACTTTTTTGTGTTGATTTCCTATTTTACCCATATTTATTGTCTCTAACTCACACTCTCTCTCCTTCCCACTTCTCTTTCTTTTAATAATTTACTATTATTCTCTCTCATGTTCTCCCTCCTTATTAATGAGGGTATTTTGGAAAAGAAATTATACTTTTACACATTGATTGTTCTTAACTAATTTTAACTGTTTTTTTTATCAACGTAATTCGGTTATTCGTCTCTTATAATAAGGAATGGAGGGAGTACTTCTCCAGTTCTAAATATAAGATCCTTATATATATACTAATATAAAAAATTTATATTTAGAACCGAAGGAGTATAATTTATGCATAAAAACAGGAGAGACTGGCGGCACAAGAATTGGCCACATTTAACATTTTTGAACGATGGACAAATTATAAATTTGACTTGCCCACCATTTACATATTAAATTAAGTTATTTTTTTTTATCTCTTACTTCGTTGAACAATGATGGTATAATTTTATATTAATTATTACTTAGAAAAACGCGTCCTAGTACGTGAAACTCTTTGGGCGATACTAATTAGTATCTAACATTGACCAACCCAGAACTTTTCCCCAAAACAAAAAAGAGAGAAAAAGATAAACCTGGAGATATGAATACTACTCCTCTGATCTAATTTATAAAGTAGAGATAAAAAGTTTTTTATCTTATTTATAAGTCACTTTATTAAATTTTTAATATGAATATATTATTTTATCCTTTATTTATTATAGTGTCGATAATTATTTCTTTTGAAAAATGTACATATTAAATTGAAAGTAAGAGTTAGAAAGTTGTTATAATTTAATAAAGAGTCTATACAGTTGAAGATTTTTCTTAATCCGTATAAAATATGTTAGAAGTGCCTTATAAATAAGACAAAAAAAGTATATTAGTTGAAAAATCCAATTAACACATTAAAAATTCAATTAATAAATGAAACTTCCAGGTAAAGAGTTGGAATAACGTGGTCAATCATGTGCTTAGTCTTTAGTTATATATTGATAATTGAACCTTTTTAAGTTTAATGACAAGTTTTTCCTGATGGCCAAAAAAGAAAAAGACAAGTTTTTCCTAGTCAACCAATTAGATTATAATACAGCCAAAAAAAATTACTCCTTCGATTCTTAATATAAGACCCATTTAACTAATTTGGTTAAATTAAGGAAGTTAGGTAAGTTAGTTAATTATAATAAATGTGACACGTTTTTCCTAAAATACCATAATCATCTTTCTTAATACCCCTTCTCTCTTCTACTTGATTATGGTTGAGGGAATATCCACAAGGGTAATTTAGAAAAAAATTGATAAATATAAGAAATGGGTCTTATATTTAGGACCAAAACCAACTCAATAATTGGGTCCTATATTAAGGACAGGAGGAGTATTATATAGACCCCATCAAAATACGTGCAAGAACACAACCGCTATAACATTATGAAAATCCGTCGAGGTCCAAAACCTCGTTGAAATAATTAATATGATAAAAATAATTAAATAAAAGGTATTCTTAAGCATTAAGTTAA